ACACTCCCCTGCTTTATATAAATATATAGCTATTCGTTGCCAGAACCCCCAATCTGTGCAACCAAGAACTTAATGCCACGCGCCAGACAACAAAGAAAAACACACTCCCGAAAAAATGGGGATACTCTGCAAGAAAATGTAAAATTTATCATTTGCTGCAATGAGCTCGAATCCCGGAGCTCTGAAGGAATCCCTTACTTTGACATGCCACCAGGGTTTTTTGTGTCCTTTCAGCAGGATGGGTAGTAAAACTTCTAGTGCAAATTAATGAGATGATAGTGGTATCCAGGTTTATGCACAGGAAACCAAATAATTTCAAAAATGTTCTTAGTTTTATGTTTTGGGACATCTTAAAAACTTTATGTTTTACAATGAGACATTTTTAAAGCAAACTCATCAGTATATGTAGAATTCAACCTTTCAATAATATTTCAAAGCCTCGTTGTTTTTGAAAGCTTAATCAAAATAATTCAATTGCATATTCAAACTTGGCAGAGAAACTCAAACTTTTATCACACAATTCAATCTTTCAATTGTATAATTCTCCAATAAAATGTAGAATTCACACAACGCATAAACGAAGCGGCGGGAAACTTTGCAGCTTTGACAATAAAAAAGTTTAAAGTCCTTTTGCGCCATTAACCAGACTGAGACAAAGACTCGGCACACACACATTACCATTCCCAGTCCCGAAAAGACAAAGTTGAGTCACCCGGGCAGCAGCCATAAAGTCTGCAGATTGCCAGAGCCAAATGTTTGCGTAAATTTTCCTGCAACAATTTTGCCAGTGGCCAAAAAAGGAGGAGGATCATTTGTGGGGCAGGTTGGTGGTGCAAGGTGACACATTCCTTTAATAGCTAGCAAGTGGCTGCATCCACTCGGTGCTTGTTGACTTTTCCTTTGTTTTAGTTTTTTTTTTTTTGACTGCCAGAATCTTTCATTTTTCAATGCCAAAGGACATGGGACAAAGGAACGAAGGACTCTTTTTTCATATCTCACTTTTTCGAGGTCTTTCCGCTCGGCAATCATATTGGGATCAGCATTGTAAATTGCCCGACTCGAGTCTCATATTTCTTTATTTCGCTGGCTGATTTTGATAAATGAGTCGGGGGAGTTGGCAAAATCTCCCTGGGCACAGCTTGTAGCATTTGATTGCCCCCTGCCTCGGCGAAAGTTAAACATTATTTCCTTATTTATTTCCCTCAACTTTCCAGACTCCCAGAACCCTTTTGCACGCATTTCCTTTCGCTTTTCCTGGTTGTTTTACTTTTTTTCGTAGCCCGAAAACATAAATTTGCTTTGTCGCAGCTTCCGTCTGGTCATGTTTTATTTTATTTTTCCCCTTTTTTGGGTGGTTTTTCCTCTTTATTTTCGCCTGGCTCGTGCTGAACAGTTTGACAAGCTCTGAGCATTGGTAAACTTTTTCCCCGACCCTCGGCTGACTTCTTTTGCAAATGAGATTTTGTTCAGTTTGCTGTGATAAATTGTTGATGGCGCTGAATGTGCTTACATGGCTGGTGTGGGTGGGAATTTGCCAGGGGTGCTGAGAGGTTAGATTCCGGTTTTTTTTTGGTTCGGGTTTGACTTTGGGTGGCATTTGTCGAGAAATTTTTGGTTAAGCTAAGTGAGGAATTTCCTTGATTCTTTTTTTTCGTTCCTAGGTGATGCTTCTATCCCATACCACTTTCGATTTCCCTTTTAATCCAATTCAATGATCTTTGTATGCAAATTATTCTTAGGAATTTCCGTAGGTAAGGGATCAAGTGACCTTTAAGGAAACCTCAAAGATTCCTTAAATTTAATTCAGGATTTCCTGCAAATGAATAATAGAGTTAAGCATGGTTTTCAAACTGATTCGACTCAAGGATAATTATTCAAAGAGCACAAAATGAAATGCTGAAACTCTAATGAAATATGCAAATGATTAAGCAATTGGGGGCGTGGCAATGGCTGTTTTTGGTGGTCAGTCAGTGGAAGTAATTGTTGAAATTATGCGCTAATATTTTGCACCGACCAACAACAACCACAAAGCAATGGAGAATGTTGAACTCATTTGGCCATTAACTAAGCCAAAACTGAAATCCAATTAAAAGTTAAACGCCACAAAGGCAAAACTCAGGCGCAGAGTGTCTGCTGAGCGGGAAAAAGGTGTTCAAACACTGAAAAAAAGCTAATTTCTGATATATTTAGAATTTAAAATTATAAATATTTAAGAAACTTAAAGTCCTTAAAATAGATTGGCTAAAACGTTTTACTTTGAACATTAGATTTAGTTAAAATTTCTAGTCCCTAATTTTGGTAAAAGATTTAACATAATAGTTTCAAGGACATGTCTGATATTTTTCTCAGTGTAGGACTTGAAGAGCTGAATTTTTTTTCCCCGGCGCCTTGGTCAAGTTGAAGGCTTCCGGTCGAGCTGCAGTCGAGGCCAAAAGGAAGAAGTGAGCAGCGAGCTTAGCATATTATAAATAACATCCAAACACGCAAACCGTTTGGCCAGGTGAAAACAGTTTGGGTCTGGGAAGCCCCGAACGAGTTAACGAAGCCATTGGCCGTAGTGTTGCGTGCCCAAAAACTCGTTTGGGCCAAAACCAAGCCGAACCGAAAGAGAAACTTTGGCAGCTGCAGGACTCGAGGATCTGGGACTATGGTGTGCCGTAAGGAACTTTGATTAAGTTTTCCATCGACTTAAAGTTCCTGCCTGCGAGGCGTCGAAATTAACTAACCCGGAAAAGAGAAAAGCGCGATATAGATAGAGAGATAGAGCGGGATGGAGAGAGTGATGGAGAAAAGGACGTGCCTGAATTCTCTATGAAGGAGAGCCCGGATAAGTATGCTATTGAGATTCTTGCAGGCACGTAAACACATTAAGATGAGTGCGAGCGGGACGGCGCAGGGGGCTAGAGAGGACAGGACGATTGGATAGACCGAACCTCCTTTATGATTATTGTCTAAAAATTAATCAAAGTGCGTGCCTGAATTGGCCAAACTTTTTGGCTGGCATCCTAATAGATTTTTGGCCTACCCCACCACGTTCCTAGCTTGGTGTTTGTGTTTTGAATTTAATTGATATCCAAAATTCCGGTGGGGACAGTAAGTACTCGCTAAGGAGCTATAATAGATTATCTGGTTTTTAAATTTTTAAAGGCTAAAGAAAGTGATTTATATATAATAATGGTATTACGATATCACAAGATATTATTAAAGAGTTAAAATAAAAATACAATTAAATAGTTTTTTTACATATACATTAAAGTTGGTTCTTCTACTTTGTGACCAGTTCAGACTTCATTGCCCACTGCAATACTCAAACTTCATTGTAGAAATCAAGAATAGTTTTCCAACTGCAAAGTTTACTGTGGTAAGCCCACCCACAGCATCCCCATCAGCCCAGGTCAAACTTTAATACTTTAGTGGGAGATTAATTAAATTACAGGAAATATTTGTTATTCAGAGGACAGAACAGGCCGAAGGATTTGCCTTCGAAGCGAAACAAATTGTTCTGGCGTGTGGAAAGTTTCTGGGAAAGAGAACTTTCCCACTTGTGGTGGGGATGGGGGATTGTATGGGATTGTATTGGATTGGATTGGGTTGGATGTGGGTGCTTTAGCTTCTGTTGGTTTCGAGTGTGACAGCCTCTGAGGTGGCAATATTTGACAATGTTTGCGGCCGATTTGTCGTTTGAAATGGCCGACACTTTGCGGCTTGAATGTCACAGGACACCTGCGGCGATGGTTTCGATTTACTGTTTGATTTTCGGCAGGCCGCATTGAGGTGTCCACCAAAAAAAGCACTGCTCAAAGGCAGAGCACGTCATTTGCATAAGGCTGAGGCGCCACACTTTGCGAAATGTCAGCCAGGTGCCTCCAAAATCCCCTATTCTTAGCAGAAATTCAGAAAAATAAATAGAGAGAAAACTGCGCCTAAGAAGGCTACTAATAACGACTTAGAAAACATTTCAGTTGTATTTTGCCTTTCATAGACTTTAATGGATTATTTAAAGCTTAAAAATAAAGGGGTTATACCAAAAATGCCATGGGACATCTTTGTTATCTATCCTTTTAGTAAAGTCATTACAATTCGTACTATCAAAGAATTACAAATGTAACAATTGACTGACATCTTTTTTCTCGGTGTTCTTCACTTGCTTTTTTCCTCCATCAAATGTCAACCGCCATTTTATGTATTTTTAAATATACAAAACAGCCAAGGAAAAATGCGAAAATAGAGAGCGGATGTGGAAGCACATTTTTCAACTGTCATCAGTTTAAGCTGATGAAATTGCTGACTGACAGACTGGCGGACCCCCAGCCACCCCCTCCACTTTTCCATGCCCCCTCTTTATTTTCGGTTCATTTGCCATCATCGTCGATAATATGACATAAGTATACTCCCAAGTAATGTTCCTTCACCAAAGTTTTTCCCTTTTCATCTTGGGCAGCCTGCTGTGTGGCTGAGTCCCTTTGATTTCATAATGTTTTCTGACTGCTTTCCTATTTTTTGATTTAGTGCCTGATATTGTTTTGTCCTTTCTCTCTGATTTCTGTTTCGGGAAATAGCTGGAGATTTTTATTTGTATTATTTTCCCACTTTCTGTTTGTGTTTTTATTGGCTCTGCTGATTATGATGCTATTTGTGACACTTGATAAAGTCAATAAACACACAAAATGGTCTGTTTAATAATAGTCTTAGCTTATAAGAAGAGTCGGAATTTTTGGGATAGGGAAAAGTAATAATTTAATATATAGGAATATCACACACAGTTCAATAATTATTATTTATTTGTCTCCGAATCAGTGCCTCTGTTTTGGGAAATTTATATATATTCATCAGTATGATCCTACCAAAGATATCATCCTGTTAACCAGGACATTTGTTATAAAGGGGGCCTATTGGCTTTATTGCTTAACCGTGCATTTGATTCATCGATTTCCTGTGGCCGACATAAATCAGTTTATTTATATTTCCATTTCGGTTGTTTCTTCTCATCTTTTTTCCAGCAACGACCATATCGAATAGAAGCCAACCAAACGGAACCAACTTTGGGGCAAAAGTGCGTTACGGTTCCGCCAATTAATATCGATGGTAAGTTGATTTTTATTCCCGAAAATATTCTCTTGCTTTCTTTGTAATGCAATTTCCATAAATTGCATTTTGCAATAAAATTTCGTTGGCCGTAAACTCAATTAAGTCTATGCGGGTGTATAAATATTTCGAAATATGCAGTTTAATTAAATTTATGATAGTGCCTTTTGATTTGTTTTGTGGAAATATTTGGTAGTGGATATGGATTTAACGAAATTTAAGTTTATTCTATGCTGTTGAAAGAGGGAAACAGCTGGATTTTATAATAAATGATATGCATTTCCATATAAATTCTATCAATATGGATGTCTAAGCTACAATTTGTATTAGTATAATCGATAAAAGTGCAATAAAAATGGCCAGAGCTCCGAATGAATATACCCAATCCCCATTAGTCAGTGTGTGTTTTCCGATTTTTTGTTTAAGAACTTCAGCTTGCTCTATTTTTAATGCAGTTTGTTGAACTTTTCTCGTGCAATTTGTATTACTAATGCGAACGGCAAACAAAGATGAGTTGGGGAAAAGTGCTGGGAAAAAGTAGGAATGGCAAGCCAATGAGTCGAATGATTCGGGCAATTGCGATGCCAAAGGAGCAATGCTGCTGCTCCGTAGCCTGGCCCAGATATCCCTCGGTTTGAGGCGGAAAGATGTCCGTAATAACTCACATCTGGCCAAGGGAAGTCCTGGAAAAAGGATTAAATATGCAGCACAAGTCGAGACCAGGAAGGCTCTTAGTCACACGGAAGGAGCACCAGAGAACAGCAGCTGAAAAGTTTAGTTTAAGTGTACGGGTACAGCAAAAACAACAATAACAACAACATCGACGACGACAGCCAGCAGAACTTGGCTTAAATGCGCTCATGTGCAAAAATGCCATTTTTTTGGATTTGGTCGTAAACAAAGCGGTGAAGCGAAGGCAAAAAATTTCCTTTTTCCCGTTCTTTCCCCAAGAACCCGAGAAAAACTAGGCGAAAAATGGAGGAAAGGTTTGAACATTTTCCACCTCTCCCTGTCAAAGTTGTGCGGGAAATAAAAGAAAACGGAAGCTTCTGACTAGTACTGCAAATAAGTCTAAAAGGTTGGTCAAACTTGGGGACCTGGTTAATTCCCTGGAAGGAGCACTTAAAAGGATAAGGAAACTAGACCATAAAATGTTTAGTTTTAATGATTATGGTTTGGTTAATTAAGTTGACAATTGCTCAGCTTTACTAACATTGCAGTGATAAAATTGTTTGTCTTTTGAAGTTTCTACAGACTACGTTTGGGAACTGTTTAAAATTCCAAAGATTTATTTAAAAATATGGTTTTTTAGTTTTTTTGTTTTATATATTGAATAATCTGTATAATCTATGTATCTTACTTTTTCCAAAGTGTATTTAAAGTAACAATGGAAACAACGACAGCAACAATGCTGTTCAACACTTGAGGACTCTTCCTCACTCACACACCCAGAAATGGACTTTTCGAACACGCAGGATTCAAGGGGAAAAAGTGGGTGTAAGGGGGGTTTTGGCCAAGAGTTCTAGATCCCTTTTAGTTCCATTTCTACTTGAAGAGTGGGTAAAAAAGTGCTATTGGGTTTTTGGGTTCTTGCTTCTGCTTTTGCTTTTGCTTTCAACGTGCGTAGTGCTTTCGTGGAAAAGAGGGGTGAAAACTGAGGGGGGCTGTGCAGCAGGACTGTGCCACAAATGGCGTCACATGCTAAAAACCCAAATAGCAACAGCAACCACAGCAGCAACAACAAATACAAAGTTGAAAATGTTTGCTTGCAATCTCACTGCAAAAACTTTTGAAATGCAACAAAAAAGCCAGACGACATGGGCGCAGGCAAACAGGGGGGCTGGGGGATCTCGAGTGACTACAAGTCATAAAGTACACAACACAACAGGGCAAACATGGAAAGGACAATACGCAGACATCCAAGTTTTCGGACGACTTCACAAAATGTCCCCCCCCCCCAAAATGTTCGTTTCACTCGTTTCCTGCTTGAATTGCAGTCACATTTTTGGCATATGTCACCACACCATATGCAACTACGCAGTTACATTGAAAACATTTTAACCAAAATGGATTTACTTGGAGTAAAACCCCCAATACCATTCCACAAGACGAACAAAGCCGCCCATTAATAATTCCAAATGGTCGCCAACAAATTGACCATTGGAAGCTTTACCAGAAGTGCCAGAAAACAGCAGCAACAGTTTCGTAAAAATGGCTTATAAATTATTATGGCACAAAAGAAGTAAAAGTATTTGTTCGCTCACTTTCGCAACGAAGCCGAGTTTATAAATTGGCCATAAAAACCAGAAACGGCAGAGAAAAGTCGCTGGATTCCAAAAGGGGCTGGTGGAGTGCCAAAAAAAAAGTTTGCGACAAATTGCTGGAAAAAAGCTGCACTAAAATATGGACCAGACTCGCCGGTTGCCCATTTAAAATCGGGGGATTATGCGAAATGTTTTTAAACCGTGAATTTATGGTATGCTACCTCTGGGTAATTTATTTAACCAATATTCATCTGTTAAATGAAGCCTGGCCCCGTATATATCAGAAATGTTTTTCGCACAAAATCCATTGGTTAATAAACTTTCTGCCTCAAAATCAGCTCTGTCGCATATACCCCAAATATCTGGTGTTAAGTGGCCATTCAGCAATGTTGTAAAAGCTTTAGTCAACAATTGGTCGCTCGGTTTATTTGTTTAAAATAGATTCTGTCTAAATATTTATGCTTTTAGTTACGAGAGTTCCCTTCATTGACCGCTGGTATTTTCCCTTTTCCACTCCGTTTGCCATTTGTTTGGCTTTCATTTTGGCAAATTGATTTGTCCATTTAAATAAATTCATACTGTGTGCATACCCCAAGCGGATACTTTGTTTATATAGACGGTAACAATAACAGATCCATTTAGTTGATTAATTGTCAATTGGCAAGGATGTTTGCTTTTTTAGCTGCAGGAAAAGGCCTGCGGTCTGATTTTATAATATATATAATATATTTTCCTGATCCAAAGGCTTTTCTTTCCCTCCACTTTTCCCTCACTTAGTTCTCCTTCATCTGGTTTTCCTTCGTCATGTGGCAGCTGCCTTCGCATTGCAAATAAATATTTTATGGCATTCTGGATGCGCTAGCGCCGTCTCGCTCTCGCTCTCTTGCAAATACAATATGGCCGCCGCCATTTTGGCATTCACTATTTCGCCATTTTTACCATTCCGCCATATTTCATTTCCGCTTCCTCCACGTGCTTGTTGTTATTGTTAGCCCGGTGCCTTTGTTTGTTTGCTGGCTGCCATGGCGCATTTTGTGAAAAGTCAATTATTTATGCATGTCACGTTATTTTCCGGCAAAGAGCACAAAAACTGAAAGAAAGGAAATAAACCCCACCAAACCAAGCCAAACAATCATGAGTTGGGTAGCACAAAAACAAAAAACAAAAAAAGAATGAAGAAATTTGCGCTAAAATGGCCAAAAATTCAAATGTCACCGCCAGCAGCAACCGCATTTTCCCCGTTCCTAATTTTACTCCACATTTCCCACCGTCAACATTTTCCCATTCGTTAGGTGGCAAGCTGATTATTAGATTTGACTTCTATATGTGTGTGCATGTCCTTGTGGCTCTTTGTATACTTTTTGGGTATATATTTTCGTGTGTTTTTAGAAAGGCGAAGCGAAAAATAAGAGAAAGGTACAAAAAGGTACCAGAGCAGCACATGCCATTGAAGGCAATTCAATTGTAATTGAATAGAATGAAAAATATCTTCATTTGCTGCTGAAATAATTTTTCATTTCATTGTGTCAGCACAATAAAAAGGAAAATAATATCACGTAAGCTTAAAATAATGAGGCTAGGAAGAGCAGGAAAATAGGGTCAAAAGGTTACAGAAAGATAAGTAATTGTATTAAAAAAGTTTAAGTTTATTATTAGGCTAAAAAGTTTTAGATTCATTTATAAATAAAATTGAAAAAATTATTTAACTCACTTCAAGTTTCTGCTTAAGGATTGAGTATTCTATTATTATTTTAGTGATTTTGTTTTGTGATTTCCTAGTGACAAATAACGCAAGAACGGGTTGTGGCATACTCAAAGTATTGAAAGAAACTCAAGAGCCAGACAGCATGGCTCATTGTACTTCATCAATCCATCCATCAATCAATCGATCTATCGATCAATCCCAGTCGACTGTCATATTACCACTTGACAGCTAACCAGACTGGACATCGTAAAATAAATATGATATTTGCTTTTGAGCTGCTTTAAACAGCAATTAAGTAGATTAAAAGCAAGCTCGTGTGCTGGCAGCAGTTCAAAAGGAAATGTAATCAATTGAATTAAATTTAAATGAAATTTAATAGAAAACACACAATGGAGTAAAAAGCAGGCAGTAAAGTAGTGTAGTGAAAACAAAGGCCAGAATCCATCGCGAACTGGGCTCAGTGGGGCGTTAAATTGAATTGTTGTCACCACAATTTACACAGCCACGCCCTCTTTGCCTCCATTATACCGGATATACTCGCTTTTTGCCAGCTTTTGTTGTTGTTTTTTTTCTCTGTGCATTCTCGGGCTTCTTTTCTTCTGTCATATTATTACATTATTTGCCATTTGCTTTGGAGCAGCCGGCACACACTCACCAGTTTTTCCCTCGCTTTTTCCCCTAATTTCCCGCTTTTCCGAGTCGTTTTCTTTGTCCCCGGCCACAGGGCGTATGCGTATTGTAATCAAGTCATAAATTTGCTCAACTGCGAATTGGTCTAAAGCGTTGCCAGGCATTTTCCTGGCCCACAAGCAGCTGTAAACTGCTTTTCAGGCCGCACGTGCCAACCAACCACGCAACCAACTAAACATCCTGAGAGAGCCATTCAGACACATAAAGATTTATCTTCTGGGTGGGCCACTCTTTTTGCCTCGTTTTCGGTTTTCAATAAGAAAGGATTAAGTTGAGTGGGAAAACTACAAACGACAGGCGTACTTTCTACCCCCCTTGGCAACCCATGAAAGCCAATAAAA